CCATCTAGTACCAAGGTTAGGAATGCGCACACACCCCTGTTAGTTAGTGCTTAGTTAAAGGCACGGGTACAAACATTGCTACCGCCACTGTCACAATTTTCAGTAAGATATGCAGTACAGTATTTACATTTACCTGAAATGCTTCGATAAAGTACGTAATATTAAGATTCTTCATGTAGAGAGAAATGTTCTGGGTTGCGAGATCCACCGTGCCGGTAAAGTTCACGTTGATAGCCGATACCCTATTCAGATGAGAAAACATTTATAGAAATAAGAAAATTTACAATAATACCCGCTCATGAAACCGATTCTAAAACAAACCGTTTGCCTAACCCGAATTTATTTTTAAATACAACTAGGAGTTTATTAAGGGCGTGGGAACGTAAGTTTGGTTGCATGTGAACTTTACTTAGAATTAACTACTTAGATCATACTCTTTGAGGATGCCGTGCCGTAGGTCAGGTGGCTAGTCGGTGGCTCCTCACAGCGGAGGATTGCTTGCGTGCACATTTCAGTTCATACAAAGGAGCACTGGGTCAAGTTTTCTCCGAGTCCTTCGGTTTTCCTCTGTCAATGTCAATGTTGTCTGTCGAATGGGCAGTTAGTGGCTTTGCATCGTTAGCAATAATAATACGCGTTGAGTAGCCCAGTCGTTCCCGTGCTGTTTTCCCGGTCCGGTAATCGAAACTGATCGGGGAACATTTGACCAGTTTCCATATCCGAAAATTAGGAAAATGGTAGATGTAACTATCACATTAAAGTATAACATTCAAACAACATTTTGAGGTTGAATTTGTGCACTGCGAATCAAACGATGAGGCATTATTTTAGGTTATAGAGCCACTGTGTGTGTTACAGGCTAAGCACGCACATTTCCACGTAATTCACTGAATTTAATTTTCATACGTGAATTACTGGGTGCTTTATACATTTTGGTTATTGAAATAACTAGTTGAAATTATACTACTGAGATTATCGTTTGTACAGAGTAGCTTTATACACAGTGGGACAGAACACCATTGAGCGGACAATACGCTGCATCAGTATTGGGCAGGTTCACTGTCGCTCCATGAGCAGCTTTAAGCGACCCTAAATGGATAAGTGGACCGGTTATTGTTCTGCACTGATGTTAGTGCGTTAGTGTTAGCGTTATAATACAGCAGTATATAATTACAAGAAACACCGATGGCGGTAATGTAAACACAAGAGGAAGCTACTATTTAAACATATCTAATTTAAAGTTACCTAGTTTCTTGTTTCATTACGTCTACAAGCAACTAGTTAGCGTTTACTTTAATACAAGGTGATAGTTAGCAATACTCACGTGGCGGGTCCGTTACCATGAACTGGTAGCACGTTGCCCAGCACGCCTCTCATGTCGTATTTAGTCCTTAAATGTATTTCTGAGAAATGAAGATCGAATTCCAGCTTCCTTTGCAACCACTTAATTCTCATTTTGTCAACTTTAAATTCGGACATCTTACTTATGTTCATATCTTCTAGGTATAAAGACAGCCTGTGAAATGGAACGAAGGCACACTGAACAAACAAACAAACAAAGATAAAACTTTAATAATTACTCATTGAAGCACTGCATGTTGTAGATCCAGGAAATCAAGACCCAATAGGCTTAAATCGTCTTACCAATAGCAGTTGAATTTTTTTTAAAATTCTTATATAAGGAACATACAGTAAGGTTGGGTAGAAAAGACTTAGTTTTGTTTGATATAATATTATAACGGAATTTTCGAAGTTTATAGAGTCATAAAATCTACGAAGCAATTCAGGTGTAGCTGGCATACAGTTTGTAAATACGTGCGTAAGTGGGAATTGCGTGGATGTTCTTGCGTGTACCTATGTATGTACTCAGAGGCGAAAACGTCCATGTTAACCGTGCTAGCCTGGCTAACACTTTGGAATACGGAATAAAAAAAGAAAGAAAGAAAAGGAAAACAAGAAGTTCTCTGCCTTACTTTCGTGGTTCATTGGTACTCCATATACTGGACAAAGCAGAACCGTTAAAATAAAATGCACGGTTAGCCAGCTCAAGCCAGCTTCTCGTTTTTGGGTAGTCGAGGCTTACGCTCTGCCATAATTAAAAATGCATAAATAATTAGAAATACTCCAATATCACCCACAAACAGGATTAGCAGTGAACGTCCGAGACACCCTTAACTGAAATGTTGTGATATTAAGGATTCTGCTGTGTGCTGTGTTCTATCCCCGAAACGATGAGTAACAAAGTTAACTTGAGTGGTTTTATTTACTTTTTTAGGTTCCGAAGGTTTCGTACTCACCCTCCTATCATTTCGTGTGTGATGTTGAAGTTCAGTTGCCTCATAACAAAGGGATCCAGAACCGGGAGTTCCAGTGTTGGCTGCGGGTACTTCATCTTGTCCTTGAGAAACTCTGCAAGTTCAGTTAAGACGAAGTCGTCAGGGTACATGATCTCACCTGAAGGTAAGATCTGTCTTACTCGTCCAACGGTACCAACTGTAATGTCAACGTATTAAAATAATTTAATATTCAGTGGCAGCTGAGAAGGACTTACAATGGAAATATTTATGTGACTAGTATCTAACTTTTGTTGGGAAAATTTTTCGATGTTATGAATTGTGATTACGTGGGCAGAAAGATAAACAATCAACTGCTCATGTAAGTGGTAGTTCAGTTTGTAAAATTCATATTAAATTTAGGCTACGTATTTTAAAAAAATTGTAAATAGAAAGTTTAAACCGATTGGAAAAATGTTCTTCAATTTGCAGTCTGCCTTTTCCATTTCTGAACCATTTTATAGATTTTTTTAAAATTTGTTAAGTACGTTATGCCTCTTTTAAACACAACCTGGTATTTTATAATTTCTTACGAACGCTATCAATAACGTGAAGAACTCATGAACTTGTAAAGTGAGTACGACACAAGCACCGCATAGTACAGGGTCAGAATTAACGTGTAGTAATAGATATTTGAAAAAATATGCACTTTTCATGAAGACTGTAGAACAGAAATATGGCGACGATGCGAATGTTTGAGGTTATGATTACAGATTTATTATGGACGTAATCTGCACTTATATAATAATTTGTTTCCAAACGCTGAGTAATAATATTAATAATCTGTAACATGTTTGCAATTGTAAACAAAATAATTCTGACTTGACTATTTTTTCTTGGACCATCAAAACACAAATTCACAATTTAGTTTACGTATTACGTGAACAAAATTACGTATTAATATTGTATAAAAAACTCACATTACTTAATTATAACATTAGAAATCACAAGATTTGTAGGACTGGAAGTCTTGTGCAAACGGAAATTATATTTTATTCGTTTTTTATGTTATTTTATGCCAGTAAATACTCACAATATATGAAAAAGTTTAAAATGAAAGTTGTAGATGTTAATGAAATACGTAGTTTAATATCGTGCATTAAAATTTCGCGATGAGCCACGTGCGAGAAAGTTGAGCTTCATGTGAATCAGGGGATATGTTGGACTCATAAGAATAAAAATTAAATTCGCCTGACAGCATTTAGATCAGAGCACCATTGCCACAATTGGTTGTTCCGTTGAGTAGTTTCAGAGACGAAACACGCGAACCGACTGACAGACCGCCCCCACTTCCTATTCGCCTTGTCTTTTCAATATTTTCATTGACATTGGACAGACTCCGTAGTTACAGAAGATTCATCTCACTAATGTTAATTGTATAACGAGTTTAAGCAACTTACTTATCGCATCCTTGGATGTTTGAGTGATTCCCGAAATCAGGTCCATCCATCTGGATTTTTGTCTCAATTCGGTGCCTACAGGGGCATCCAGAAGAAAAGTTACGGTCGTCATGAATAACGCGATGTTATTAAAATTCATGACTGCGTTCACCTAAGGAAATTTGTGAAGTTAAAACAATCTAATTTGTTATATAACATTGTTTATGGTCTTAATACAGGTTTACATTAATGACAACTAAGTGTCTAACTCTATCGAGGAGGGTCTGTGAGAGGAAAGGCATTAAATAATAATCGTATGTAATCTGTTTTTCCTACATAACATTGTCGAAACAAGGGAACATGTGACAGTGTGTCTCCAGCCTTGCTAGATTAAGGGCAGCCTCTTGATAATATTGTTTAGCTTATCCTTTGCATCAGCGTGTAACATTTATCTTGTCAGTACATTTAGAATATGTTTTATTTATATTTCAGTAAAAGAGGGAATAAATGTCACTCTAAGAAAGAAATAAAAATACAAACGTCCTGGAAAAACTGTTTTCCGGTCTTGTAGACACGGGCAGACAGACACGGCCACTCCAATAAGTTAATTTATGCCGTTTTTAGTTGCGAGCGATTTGATAACTGGCGACCAATTATTCCCAAACATGTCCACACTGGCAACTTTATGTTTTGTTTGTAATTCAAGATGAGATAAAAACATATGAAGGTCTGCCTCTGAAATGTTTCGAAACAGTAATGCAGCAGTCTTTTTTACAGTTGCGAAATATTCGAATGAAGAAATAAAACTTGTCCCGCATCGTTGTCGATACAACGTTTTGCAACTGAGTACATGTGTGCAGGTCTCGACGTACCCCAAGAGAAACGTGCTCCTTAAAATGTACGTAAGGATTCACAGATGCCGCGATTTTTTAAAATGAAAATGTAAGGAACAATCCGGTTTGTCGGTCTGATGGGAGAGGGAGTTCGTCACGGGACCTACAGATCCACCGACTGGGGATTAAAATGGAACGGGTTTGCAAAGAAAGATCTTAAACATTTCCAGTCTCCGGATCAACTCGTTCACACACAGACACAAAATGTCTTTTGCACCGGCTTGTTCGCGTCCTCCAACATTTTGGAATCTACAGCCAAATTTACACTGTACCAAAATTAAGAAGAACAGCATCATCGATGCATCTCTACTTTGTAGCTAAGTAAAAAGTGGTATAGTTAGCACTTTAACTTCTTCGTAGTTAGTAAATCGTTTTAGACTGAAAATATTGAGTGTTATTTTTCAGTCTGGACTTTGAGGATATTCCTTTAATAACCACTTCTACAGTTGACAAGTCACTCTTAAATTAATTAGAAATAAATCATAGAGGAATAGACTTACTTACATTTGTTCACAGTAGTAATATATTTAGTGCGGATAATTTCGTGCCGGCTGTGTGAAACTGTGGAACACGAAAGGATTATTTATTGTTTTGCTTATTTTCGTCACCGTCCTTTCCATACTCATCCTATCGACTATTGCTCCACGTCGATTATAATTTTCCTAAGGATGATGTTTCTTATCTCTTCGTTTTTAAATCTGACTGTAGTGCAGTTTGATACCCGGATCTTTGCCCAGTCGAAGCACAAAGTTCACTGATAAATTACAACCATTACGCCAGTAATTTTCAGACTTCAGTCGTCCCAAGTTGTCAGTGACATTGACTCAAAAAAAGTCTGCTACTGAGACTTTCTTTCTTTGCCAGTATTGAAATGGGTTTATTCCCCTTCAAGCAGTGCTGACAAATGTTAAAAGACGGGTCGTTACGGATGTCTGGGTGGAGGGCGTGAAACTGTTTCAGTAGTAGACATAATTTTATAAAGTAAAAAATATATTTAAATTCCGTTTCAATAAATTATTCTCGCGCGTGACCTCGGGGCCAACAAGCAGATAAATACTGAATGTGAACCATGGTCTTGAAATGGTTCAGAATCCCTGAGCTGACGCACGTGAAGTTCATATACGCAAACGACATAATTCCTTATGTTCGGACTATATTTCAGAGCGCCCTGAGCATGTAAATGAGAAGGGAATTATTGTATTGCTTTCCAGTGTCGCCATAGAGTTTGTCTGTACCGAAACGGTTATCAACGTACATGGAAATATAAAGAGGAAGTTGTTGCGTGGAAATTGTAAGAGGTATTCCGAACTGAACGACATCCATATTTTTTTTTTTGAAATGGGAAATATTTCAATGTTTGCCAGAATGTGCGTTTGTCGTTACGAACGTTTCAGCCTAAATAAATAATTTCGGAGCTGGAGTTAACAAATTTTGCAGAAAGTCAAGCTGAATATTTTTAAAATTCAGCTCGACCCTTGACCTTTTGAGAAAGGCGCCAATGACGTCAGAGATGTGTGAGGTCAGTAGGAGGGAGTGCCTGACTGGATGACGATGCCATCGCGAAGGATCCCCCCTCTCCTAGCAACCATGGTAACTAGAGGAACTAAGTTAACAGTGGAACTCATTTTGCCTTTGGAATTGTCATATGTGAATGAGAATTTAAATAGCTGAGCACTTTTGCGCAAAGTTCTCCAACATCGTATTCAACCAGATTTGGTTTTTATGTTCTTGAGTTATTTTTTCGTACAAAGGAGAGACAGAATGACGGAGTTATTTTAATAGGCTATCCACAGGGTTGCGAAGGCCCTTAAAGTACAGTGTTTAATACAAATAAATAAATAAATAAATGTAAACGACGATTTCTCAACTATATATTGTGTTGACCACATATCCAGTCGGTTATAGAACTCTGTCCACTGCCGAGGTTAGGTTAACACGGAACTTCGTCTCCACTGCTATAATATCATTATTTCGTGATGGTTAGGTTCAGGGTCAACAGAACCTTTTAACTTTACCAAATGCAAGGATAATTGTGAATGGTGAATTGAGAAAGACGCGAAAGAAGCCGTATTAGCCTAATGTAAGGTTACTGGAACACTATGTTGTAAACTGTGTATTGTCTGATGTACGCGACGTTTCGGAGTTGCCTGTAGGAAATTCTGGAAATAAATTTTTTAGGCCGGTGCTTATACTAGCATGCCTAATTCGTGAAGACAAATGGAAGAAAAATACAACAGAATTTTATTTACTTATTTATTTCGATTATACATTTGGTTTATATTTCACGCCCCAAGTTAGAAATATGGGGTTATATTCTGCTTGTTAAAACAAGTAAGAATTAAAAACAAACACATTTATGAATAGTTTATTGCCAACGATGAATTGAACGATGTCCTTGGTGAAGTTTTTAGAATTTCCTTGAGCTGCCGTTGATCAGGTCCAGAATATCTTGAAGGGTAACACCGTCCAAGAGTTCATTTGCCTTCTCTACGATTAGCTCGATGACAGATGGAAGAACTTGTGGTTTGAGATCTTCGAAAAGTTCCGGCACCAGCTCTGAGATGATCTCATTTACTAGATCACTAATGTCGCCTCCGCCCAGAAGACCTTCAAAGTTAGTCTGAAAGTTTGAAAAGAAGTTGCATTTAGCGTTGTGAATTTCAGAGTTCCAACAATTAAATCATTTTATTTTCTCTGTAACTGACTATGGATCATTCGCGTTTTTTACCTCGAATTTGTACAGCGAACCGTTTAGTAGGCGAAGCATGTGACATTTATATAACCCCGAACTCGAATCAAGATTGTTTCCCGGGACTTCATTATTTGAAAATCATAGAGCATGGCGGTAGCCTAAAAGTCACAAGTGTTTTATACAAACTTAAGACAAAAGATTAAATAACTTCTCAAATTAAAATATTTCTCGCACAGTCGGTAGTGTCTTTATTCTATCCTTTTCCCGATGCTGTTCGTTCCGAGTTTCATGATCATCAGTCGATTAGTGTCTTTAATATTAGCGTCCAAAATGTACACAAAAGATAGGGCGGGCAGACACGCGTGGCTCGTAAATCAGTTTCCGAAGAAGAAACGAGTCTGGCGTTAATTCTTACAGATACGTCGAAGCACGTCTTACAAAATAGACAAACAGATAAATCAGTGACAAATACATTCACACATGATTGAAAATTGCATCTACAGTTTTGAATACCTGAAACTATGCCTATTGATATATGAGAGACCATGCTTTTTACTTGTTACTTAAACTGTCCTGAATCGCGTAATGATTACGATATAAACTACAAGAATGAATATTATAACCTGAATTAAGTCCGAAATTTCCATCAGCGGGTTAATATTAGTGTTAAGCAGACGCTTATGTAAAACATAGTTTTTACATTATGATAATTTCCTTCTTGTAACATTTCTACGTTGTTTCGTTAATTTGACATAAATTCACAGTTTATTTTACACAGAAAAGTGCAAGCAAGATAAATGACCCAAATACTTACTTTTACTCCTGCAATCGTTACATCAAGTTCCAAGGCTTTGACGTAGATGAATGAGTTGCTGGAGCCAAGTGACACTTTACCAGTTACAACTATTCCCTGCACTGACGCTCTGCAATAAAAATATTTATACACGTATCTTAATCACATAATATTCTAATATTTGCTGTTAATTTGGAGTTTCGTGGTTCTGTTTATCTAAGACAAAGGAAAAGCTTTTAAAATCATCCACTTTAAATAATAAACTATAAAATACATTATTTAATTTTTTTGCGAATATATGACGCTTTTCGGAAAATGAACAATGGAAGATATTATTAAGAAGTGATTTCGAAATATGTATGGCACAGTTAGATTTATTTTGGCAATTAAGTCAGTCAAGCATATAACAAAGTCGTGTGCATGTAATTGTTTGTGCAAGATAATAAAAGCTTAGAGAATTGTTTATGGGGAAATCTCTCGGAATGCGGTTTACTTAAAAGACATAGAAAGAGACTGGAAAATTTTATAAAAATAATTCTTAGGACATTAGCCGTAGGCGTTTAATAAAATAAATAAAGCAATATTTGTAAACCTTATTTAAATAGCACTAGCATACTTCTCTCTTCGTAAGTTTATACGGCCATGAAGATGGTAGCATTTGTGAATTTATGAAGTAAATAGTTTATATGGCATCTAATGGCGCTATAATAATGCAAAGATTACTGAAAATCCGTTAGTTGGTTTAAAATATATTAGACACAAGGACATGGTGATGATTATAACTATCTTAAAATATATAATAAGAACTCATAAGAAGGTAATTTAGATGAAGAATAGAGTGTACTTACGAGAAGCGACCTTGGCCGTATATTGGGAGCAGTCCTCCGAGATTTCCCTCGATGTCGTAGTTTTCTCCATGTGCCACGAGCTCAGGAACGGAGACCCCGAACTCCGCATTCAAAAGTAGGAGGTTCGTCTTTATTTTGTCAATTACGAAAGTAGAAACTTTCTCTACCTCGGCATTGTCAATAGTTCCTTTCAATCTACAAACCAATGAAGACAGACTTATTCAGCATTTCCCCTTATGACCTGTGAAAGACACAAGCTATAAAAGGGATTAGATGTCTGAGGGATCTAATCGTGGACTAGTTAGTCGCTGGTCTTTAATGTAGAAGGTCTCGGTTTCGAGACTAGTCTGATCGATAGCAGATTTTCCCCTGTCCTCGCCGCTAATGCAGTATGTTCTTCTTCCTGTGGCTCTACAACCCAGTTTGGGTCTTGGCCACCTCCTTTAGGAGGCTTCTTGATCTAACACTGTGTATTAACCTCAAATGAAACTGATGTTCTCACTGCTGTGAAGTTGTCGATGTTAGTATTCTCAGTTGTGACATTGTAGGTAGATACATACGTTTCGAAGAAATATAATATCTCCGTTTTAAGGGCTACAACTGATAAAACACATGACTGGAAGTATTTTAATGCGACGATTGAATGAGTAAATGTAGTAGTCATAAATGGTTAGATCCAGTGTTGCTGGAACTTAAAGTAATTGCAAAATATAACATTTAAATCCAGAACTTGTTAAATAACGGGAGTGGTAAGTTGGAGAGGGTTGAATTTGAATAGCAAATCCATATTAAATTGACAAAAACTCCTTCTAGCAAAACCCGCAGGTTCAACGCCGACAATTGACAAGAAAGTTTTAATCGTAAATATGTTAAAGAAGGTGTTGAATTATGTAAATTTTTGTCCTATATACTTGATACAAGAAAACACTGGAGAAAGTATAAAAACGAAAAACCATCCGGTGCCGGTAGAAATCTTAGTTCGCGGTGAGCTGAAGATTGTAACGAAGTGGTTGGGAAATATTACATGAACGAATGCGAACCAAAAGTCTCTGACCTAATGACTTTAAAGGGGCCATTTTGTGTACACTGTATACGCGTAATTGATACCCTGCATCTCTGTTGTCCCACTATACAAATCAGAGAGAGCGTGAACGGCAATTACGGGAACGTCCCTTACCTGACGATTGATAGAAAGCTGGGTTTTGTCACTACTCGCTCTGCATGTGTTCATGTGTGCTCCGTACTTAGCGTCAGCGAAGTAGAGAATATATTTGTATTTTTTTTGACAAACAGCCTATGCCACTTTGATCGTGTTTTAAGTCGTATAAATGTTATCTGAACACGTAATCAGTGAAAATTCTACTTACTCTATAC